ATACCGCAGACTCTATAGGGTCTGTTACTATACAGATAGGGCCCCAGCACCACAGACATTACTATCCTCCATTTGACTACACAATATGTACCAATACAAACATTTTATTCGAAGATTAATTAAGACCAGGATATAATTTTAAATTCTGTAGACTGGTGCCTCTAAACCTTGAACACGGGTTCACAAATCAAGAGAATCTACCGCATAGCGAATTGTCTGCCAAGGTCGTATAAGTTTGAGTTTGTTTTTTTTACCAATCGGTTTTCATAGCGCATTGTTGTAGTTTCGTGTTGCTTTAATATTGTTTCAAAAATAAGCATTATATACCGGTAACCGCGCAGCTCGGAAACACAATGGAATTTTCCATACTATATTCAGAATAACAAATGCGTGTAAGCATTTAAAATCATAGTGCAACGACAATCGGACCGAAGAGAAACTGAAATGGGTGCCAGTTGGAAATATTATCTTGTGACGATTCTTTTTCTGTTTTACTGTTTCAGCATTGATTCCGGTAAGCTTTTAATAATTCGTGTGATGAGGTTGGGCTAATTGCAGGCCCGTAGCCAGGGGGAGTTTTTTATGGTTCGGGCGAACCCCCCTTTTCTAGCGAACCCCCCTGATTTCTAGCGAACCCCCTAGAATTTTTGAATGAGTCCCACTTGGACGGAATGTCTGTTTTTAATTTACCTAGCATTAAATCAAAATTTTGCACCTAATTCATTATTTGGTCATCCGTTTTTAAATTGTAGCCTGCGTACAAACCTACATTCATAGAATATCTCAGCTTCAGAAGTTCGGAGATTTAAATTGAACGCAACTTCAGCAAACCATGACTTTACGATGGCACACATAAGGATGGCAAACATCGATAAAAACCCAAATGCCGTCTTAACTTTTTTTTGGTTGAATGTTTGTAATAGTGTACCAACCGTTATCGAAACCGGTCGCCGTCTACCTAGAGTAAATGGTGCCACCAAACAAAGCTAAAGTTTTGCGACTTAATCCACCAAATGCAGAGATAAAGTTTTGCGACTTAATCACCTGATTGTGGATTGTGTGGTTAGTAAATTCCATAGCCATACTGTTCATAGCGCACACTAAACTATGTGCTGATGGAACATTTTGGGGATATTGACTCTCCTTTTTCCCATCCCAAACAAAATATTATTAATAAATCAACATGGTCCATCTCAGTCATCATAGCCAGTCACAAAATTAGACTAGGAAGTTTGTTTTCAACAGCAGACACACACACTACACCAACGGAGTGCGTCAAAACGAGTGTTTGTTAATTTTTAGTGATAAAGAATCACTGACTTTTTTTCGTCCGCTGTTGCAAAAAATAAAACGACAGATACTCCTTTAAGGTGGGTTATTGATTTTAAATTCAATTAGCCTAGCCTAGATGTTGACTAGCTAGGTTCGCTACTCGTTCATTTAGAGACAGAATTATACCCCGACGACAACAAACTAGTGTATACCTAGGCCTAAGTACAGTAGGACGTACTAGACTTAGGCTTTTCTTGTAAAAATTGAAGTGCATGTACAAAATACGTCATAGGCCTATATTTAAAAAAAAAATTGTTGTTAATTATTATTTGTTGGCCTGGTACCTGGGCAGGCAGGCTTTACCGTCGAAAGTTCTGGAATTCGACGATGACGTCAGTGCACGTTTACAAACGCCATTGGTTAGAATGAAAATAGACGCGCTGAATTTCGGGGTTTTTTTTTTAATGAAAGATAGAATTTATCGAACATTTATCTATCTAAAAACAAGATTAATATTGTAGAAATTGTATTTCTAAAGATGCATATAATTCATATTTTATTTGGTAGACAATAAATATTCAGGAAGATATACTAAAAACGATCATTAATTCTAAAATGTGCATCAAATCTCAGCTTTTATTAATCAGTATGTATTATGTTATAAAGTCTTAAAATAATAATTTCGAATTAGGCATAGTATATAACAAATAATTGTATTAAAGTTTAGGTTCTCATGATGTCAGATGACGTATTGATGATGCTATATTTTGGGCTCTGACTTAATTTAACGATGGCCCTGTCAGTAGTAATGACAACATTTGTGCTTTTTTTAGCCATGTAGTAAAATAGTACTATTATTTTCAGTGTACAAAATGAGAGTAAAGAAGAAGTAGTAGAAGAAGAAGAAGAATAGCTTTTTTGTTTTTGTTTTATAA